TTCGATGTGGCCACTTTGCAAACCACAGGGCTGGCCGTGTGCCACCCCGAGAAACGTTTGTGCAGGAGCAATGGGCCTTGGATGCACGTGTGGGCTCCTCGGGGAGGGACGCATCCTGGCCAAGCTTCAACAGCTGCAAGACGGGACTGTCACTCATGCGATGAAGCCTCCGCTCTCACGATGCCCCAGTGAGGCAGAACCGTCTTTAGAGAAGCCTGGCTGCTCCCGCCATCTTATGCTTTGCTGGAAGCCGGAGCTGGAGGCCTCGAGACCCAAGGCCCCTCTTGCGCATCGTTCCAAGCGGTTGAATACTGTAGTTGCACCACCGTAGAGTTTCACTGCTCAGAAGAAAGAGAGAAGAACCAGAGGGAAAAGACCAGGGTGATGCAGACGGCAGCCAGTAATGTCTAGATTCCCCATCAACCTCAATCGTTCAGGCGTTCTCAGGCCACAGTAAAAGTGCTGTTTAGGATCGGCATGGGATGCATTTTTACACCAGGCCCTTCTGTTTATCCGACCTAAGGTGGGCCACTTATGGTCTCCGCAGTTCATGGCTTCTGGTCTAGAAGGTGCAGCAATGAGCACAAACCAAACACACTATGGTTATTCTCCCATTCATTTGCTGGCTAGGTTCGTAACAGGGTCTGACCTCCCGACAACAATGGCTTCTCGGATACACTCAAATCCACCCACCATCAACACATTATAAGCTGTGCCTCCAAAAAGGGGATATATGCCTATATTAGTGTTGGCAAAAATCCTCTGAATATCCATGCACACCTTTTTTAAAAAAAAATATAAAAGCAGTGTAAAAAGGAAGGCAGAACTCACTGAGCGCAGGAAAAAAAATGAGAAACGAAGTCCAATATCGTGGGATTTGCTCCACTTATAAAAAAATATCCATGCACACCTTTTTTTAAAAAAATACAAAAGCAGTATAAAAAGAAGGCAGAGCTCACTGAATGCAGAAAAAAAAGAGAAACGAAGTCCAATACGGTGGGATTTGCTCCACTTATAAAACAGATGGATTTGGATTGTTTTTTACTGATCCCAGGACATAAAGGCTGGTTCGAATTAGCCCACCCCTTCTTGCTCCCAAAGAAGGTATCAGCTGCTCTCCTGGAGCAAGTGTTTTGTCACGCTGGAGAAACTCGCTGGAGAAAGTGGCAGGGGTGGCAGAAATCAGTGGCCAGCAGGTATATATGCGGATATATACCTGTTGGCCACTATAAATATGCCTGCTTTTAATTTCCCTTTCCACTGCCACAAAGACAACACAGCCCATGGTGAAGCTTGCCGCACGAACTTTCTTACTGCGGAGCAATCGGGAACTTAAGGACTCAGCAAGACCCTCTGTAGAGCTGAAGATTCTCCTGCCGCCAACTGTTTTGCAAATTTTATTTAAAATGTTCGCACCCTCGCCCCTCTTTTGGAGGAGAGTGGCGGTGAGAGGCATGTGTATTCATTTCCGCAGGAGGATGGGTTTGGGTTTTTTTCCTTTTCCCTTTCTTTTGCCAATCCTGGGGGGGGGGGAAACACCCGAAATCCTTCTCCGTGCAAGGAGGGAAGAACAGAAGGCCTCTCTGATTGCACTCGGGGTTCACCGGATCTGTTCCAGCCTGAGCGGAGAAGAAACCTACCGTCTGGGGTTTACCTATGGCTTCCAGAGGTCAAAGCCTCTCCTTTAGCCTGCACGCAGAGGGAGGGTTTGCCCACTCCGGCTTCCTGAGATGATGAGTTATTGCCGAGAGATTTCCTTTCCTGTCTGCTTCTCTTAGCCGGAGATATTTACTCCTCTCCCTCACTCTTGCTTTCTCACCTCGGCCCTTCCTCGTCTCCCCCAGGACTCCGAGCCCAGTGCCCTCGAAGAGGGCAGGCGGCCAAGCAAAGCAGGCTTCAAGCCCGGGGGCTGCTTCCTTCCTTGAAGGTCGGCAACCGGAGGGGGGGGAGCAGGTGACACCCTGATCTGGAGCAGCTCCCTGCCAGAAAAGGCTGGGGCCCTCGTGGAAGTTTGCAGCCCGAAGAGCGTAAAGGTGTCGTTTAAATGGCAGGAAATTGAACAAACAAATGCATGCAGAAAACAAGAAACACTTGCCAGGTTTCGAGAGCGGAGAGCCAGCTGGCGTTGTAGATACAGCATGAAAGGCGGTCACGAGACACCTGGATTTAGTTGATCCTTCTTTAGCTGGCTTCTGTTTATAGCAGTGGTCCCCAACCTTGGGCCTCCAGATGTTTTTGGACTACAACTCCCAGAAGCCCTCACCATCATCTCTGCCAGGATTAGTTGGAGTTGAAGTCTTAAAACATCTGGAGGCCCAAGGTTAGGGACCACTGGTTTATAGGACATCAGCCATCAAGTAGTTGTTAGACTGCCACTCCCATCAGCCTTCACTATTCCTCATGTTGACAAAGGCTGATGGGCTACATAGTCTCCACCCCAAGCTCAGGCTGCTGCCCCACATTTATTGTGCTCATTAAGAGAGTGTGTATTTGTGTGGACCACACATACGGAGGTGGGGGGAAGAGAGAAACCACGCGTGTTGTTCCAGCGCTCCTGTGTGAGCTGTTTTCCTGGCTATCCCACAATGCTTCAGCCTGACCTCCATCCATGCCTGAGCTGGACCGTTTTGGTCCAGCAATAAGACGACTACCATTGGATGGGCTGGAGCGATTCCCGGGCAGAACGAAGGATCGTTTTTAAGGGAGATTTCAGGTGCAATCGGGCACTCACTTTTCTAGCTGTCTGATTGCACCCCAGTGTTAATTGACCGGTGTTCTGGATCTGTACCAATGGGCCCATGAAGAAGTGGGACCATAAAGAGTGCTAAGGAGACTTCTTGTTCTCAGTGATTTTCTTCTCCTCCAGAGAAGACTTGCCTCCACTGCAGCGGGATTTTCTTCCAGGAAAAACAAGAATCTCAGCCACTGTCTAATTTCCCCCTTTCTTTTTTCCTTCGGTTTGCAAGACCTGAGGTCACAGGGCCTTCGGGAAGGCACAGGTTCATAAGCCTGCATGAAGTAAAAAGTAATTCCATAACAGCAAAAACGGTAGCAGCACCAACCACATACTATTTCTTACTCCCAAGTAACTGGTAACATAATGAATTTATGGACACAATATTTATTTGTTTGGTTGCTTGTTTGTTTTATACAAAACTATCATGAACAATGGCCCAAAGTTGCCAACTTTCCCCCTTCCCTCTCAAGTGATATTAATGGAATACCAGGTAAATGTTACTCATCATTGCATATTTAAGCCAGCGTTCTCTTCCCTGGCATAACTGGGCGAATTGCTCCAAGTGAAGAAGTCAGCACTGAATCCTGACTCACACAACTGGTGTGGCACAGGAAATGCTTCGACCACCTCCCTAACTTGTGGAAATCCACTGCCGAAAGTTAACCTGGTGGAGGTCCACTGGTGGGCGATGCGACCCGGATTCTGGCGATGGGCTGAGGGCGTTGAGGATGATTGGGGCATGCTCGGCTGACCTGAGCAGCTGCTGTCCTGGGCGAAAAGTGGACACACACACCCCACCGTGACTGCCCTTCCCCGGCACTCAACTAGCATTTGTAAACCAAGAAAGTGCCTCAAATTTTGTCGATTCATTTATAACATTTTGGGCTCAGTTGTTGAAATCCACCGCACTTAAGCGGCCCCACCTCTCAGAATTAGAACTAGAACCTCTCCCAAAGGGATGAACGTTTAGATTCAGCACAGCTGAGGGTTCCGTGTAAAGTAGCAAGTCAGGAAATGTTGGCTTTTCCCGGGTTATATTTCCCCACCCACACCCCCAGAGGTGGGATGTGTTGATCCTTTGGAATCCAACATCCAAAACTGTAGTCCAATAGGTCGGTTATAGTAAACAAAATGTTTCCCGTATTTCCTTTGAGGACTACAGCTCCCAGTTTCGAGGGGTTGGTTCCTGCTGCTAGAAATCAAAGCCGGTCTTTCATTTCCGAGCATCGAAGTGCTGTTAAATGCACAGAGAAGG